GGAAGTGTTTGGGAACGACAGCAACTCAGCCACGAAGTGGTAGGCCAGGTAAACTGACGGAGCGGGGTCAGCGGATGCTGACGCGCATAGTGCGAAGAGGTCGCCAACTTTCTGCAGAGTCAATCACTACAGACCTCCAAACTTCATGTGGCCTTCAGATTAGCTCAAGAACAGTGCGCAGAGAGCTTCATGGAATGGGTTTCCATGGTCGAGCAGCTGCATCCAAGCCATACATCACCAAGTGCAATGCAAAGCGTCGGATGCGGTGGTGTAAAGCACGCCGCCACTGGACTCTAGAGCAGTGGAGACGCGTTCTCTGGAGTGACGAATCGCGCTTCTCCATCTGGCAATCTGATGGACGGGTCTGGGTTTGGCGGTTGCCAGGAGAACGGTACTTGTCTGACTGCATTGTGCCAAGTGTAAAGTTTGGTGGAGGGGGGATTATGGTGTGGGGTTGTTTTTCAGGAGCTGGGCTTGGCCCCTTAGTTCCAGTGAAAGGAACTCTGAATGCTTCAGCATACCAAGACATTTTGGACAATTCCATGCTCCCAACTTTGTGGGAACAGTTTGGAGCTGGCCCCTTCCTCTTCCAACATGACTGTGCACCAGTGCACAAAGCAAGGTCCATAAAGACATGGATGACAGAGTCTGGTGTGGATGAACTTGACTGGCCTGCACAGAGTCCTGACCTCAACCCGATAGAACACCTTTGGGATGAATTAGAGCGGAGACTGAGAGCCAGGCCTTCTCGTCCAACATCAGTGTGCGACCTCACAAATGCGCTTCTGGAAGAATGGTCAAAAATTCCCATAAACACACTCCTAAACCTTGTGGACAGCCTTCCCAGAAGAGTTGAAGCTGTTCTAGCTGCAAAGGGTGGACCGACGTCATATTGAACCCTATGGATTAGGAACGGGATGTCACTTAAGCTCATATGTGAGTCAAGGCAGGTGAGCAAATACTTTTGGCAATATAGTGTATATACATATATATATATACAAAATTCCTTGTATAATATAGATAGATATATACATGAATAACTATATGTACAGTGGGGGAAATAAGTATTTGACCCCTTGCTGATTTTGCAGGTTTGCCCACTTACAAAGAATGCTTATTTTTCCTCATCAGATGGTTATCAATTTTTATAAATTCATATGATGTGATTTTCTGGAATTTTCTTTGGGATTCAGTCTTTCACTGTTAGAATGTACATATGATTAAAGTTAAAGATCGTTGCATTATTTGTAAGTGGACAAACCTGCAAAATTAGCAAGGGGTCAAATACTTATTTCCCCCACTGTATATATATATGTCAAATAAGTGGTGGTGATAATGTCAATGATTAGTTTGACTCTCAGAGGGAGGCGTTGTACAGATTGATGACCACAGGCAGGAAGGATTTCCGGTGGCGCTCTGTGGTGCATCTGGGTGAGAGGAGTCTTCTGCTGAAGGAGCTCATCTCAACTCAACTCAACTTTATTTATAAAGCGCTTTCAGTCAGCCAAAGCTAAAATCAAAGCGCTGTACAGGCCATTTGAGCGAATCATAAAACACAATTATCACCTCCACACAAGACAAACTCAAAGATTAAAAACAAATAAGAGAGGGATAAAAGTAGAGTGAGAGAGGGAAATTAAGACAACTAAAATAAAGTCGAAGTCTCACTCAAAGGCCTGAGAGTAAAAGTGGGTCTTTAACTCATTCGCTGCCAAAGACGTCTATAGACATCTTTTATGTTTTTCAAGGCGAGTGGCTTGGGGAACGATCTGCTAAAGTTTTTCGGTAAATATCGGCTTCCAGACAGAGTATGTACTAACAAATTTACCCTCTAGGTAGCTGTGCCACTTTTGATGGGAGATTAGCATAGACTGTAGGCAAATAAAAACAAACGCGATGGTTCGCTATGAGAGAACATGTCGCCGGTGAGACGCAAGTCGAGGAAGAACGGAATAAGGTAGAAACAAAAACATTTTTCCTGATGAAAGAAGAGAGTCTACTGTTTCTTTTGGTGTGTTCGGTGTTTACGTAGTCATAGCACAAACTATTCTGTGACTCTTGAAAAATCAGTCAAAATGCTCAAAAAACTCTGGCAGTATGGGACTCTCTGTTCTGAAAATGGCTGGCAGTCAGTGAGTTAAAAGGGTTTTAAAAGAGCTGAGCTCATCTGCTGGGGCCAGTGTGTCGTAGGTTCAATTCATTGGCCCGGTCCACTCCGACCCCATGCCATTACGCGGTTATTGTGCAGGAAAACCAGTGGGAGCAGGCGTACTCACGTCGGCGTCCTTGCTGATGAGGCCCAGGACCACGTCGATGCAGATGAGGGTCCCCGAGCGGCCGATGCCCGCGCTGCAGTGGGTCACCACGGGGCCCGAGCGGTGCACGTGCCGCATGTAGGAGATGAAGGTGAGCAGCTGCTCGGGCTGGGAGGGCGTCCCGTGGTCCGGCCAGCCGGTGTAGTTCAGATGGGTCACGCTCTGGACCTCGTTAGTCTGAGACAGAGAGACTCGGTGAGGGCCACTAGGGCAGAGATGACCAGTAACCAAGTAGAACTACTTAAGTACTGTACTTAACCCTGTAATGCCAAATCTATCATATTTGATACGTACGGTTTCTGAAATGTTTTGCGTCTGACACCTTTTGCTTAATTTAATGGTAAAAAATTTGCTCAAAATCCTATTGGACACAATCAGATACACCTGATAACAGGGGGCAGAAGACTACACGAAAAATAATCTTTATTTATCGCACATAAGGAATAAGGAATTGTTTGAATAAGGAATTCAAACAAAAAAAAAGAGGAATTTTCTGTTTTGTTTTATTCTTGGATCGGGCTTTAAAGGGTTAAGTACCAAAATGCAGTATCTGTACTTTATTGGAGTATTTGTTTTTTTAATCTGAAGAAGCATATCAAGGTAAGTTAAAAAATACAATGACACATAAGCTAGTAAATAAGAGCTAGTTCAGTTCTCAGGACGTAGCAGCTAACATTAGCTAAAGCTATCCTAGCTGGCTAGCTGTATGATAGCATAAAGGCTCAGCTCAGGATTGTGACAGGAATAATAAATAATAGTAGATAAAGTGCTGTTGATTGCTAATGCAAATGTAGTTTTCAGTTTTTTGTAAACACCTGTAGGGTCTTTAACACGTTTGAAATAATATAAACAATATCTTCCCAACTTTTGACTGCCTTTTTTTAATATACACAGTACTTGTACTTTTACTTATACTTGTACTTTCAAAACTTGAGTAGCAATTTTTGAAATACTTCTACTTGCAATACTTAAGTAAAACAAAAAAATTGAGTACTTCCGTACTTCCACTTAAGTATGGTGTTGAAAGAACACTTATACCTTTACTTAAGTAAATTTTTTTATATAGTACTGGTACTCACCTGGACGTCTTTGACCTCGATGACCCGGATGACAAAGTTGTCCAGGTGTTGGTCTTTGATCAGCGTTATCTGCAGCCGGTCGTCCACCATCTCCGCCGTCCTGGGGGTGTCCGGCCAGTAGCGCTGACACTTCACTTTGCCGCCCTCCACCTCCTGCGTCATCATGGCGATCACGTTGGACTTCTGCTCCCACACCATTTGCCAGAAGTCGCCCAGAGTGGTGGGCAGGGGCCCCTGGCAGGCGATGTACAGGAAGCTCTCGTCCTTCACCGCCATGTTGATGAAGTTGGCGTTGATGTAACCTCCGTCTCTGCCCAGCACGACGCGAGTTGTGTCGACTGGAGGGAATAT